TGTATATGTATGTATATGCCAAACGGAACGTGGGCGGTGGACGGGTCAAAATAATCTGAATGGGGTGTATACATGTTGCATTTTTATTATGAATGGCCATTTAATCTGATTACTTATGTATATGTAAATGTAGCTAGTGAAACAATGAAAGGAAAACTTTCCTAAAAGTCCAATTATTTGACTTTAAAATAAGAAAAATAATAAAAAAATAATAAATTTTCTTGGCTTGAAAGTTGGCCAACTGTCATGTGAAGACAACACTGACTCCAGTGACAAAGAAGAAAAAACATAAATTACATTTGAAGTATTACTTTGGGGCCAGACAAAATGTTAACAAGGGCCAGATTTGGCCCACAGGCCTTGAGTTTGACACAGGTGTTATAGAGTGATGCTATACAAAACATGGCACATTTTGATAATGAATATAGATATAAACAGTTAGGATTTAACTGCTCTGAAGCAGGTGATGAGTTCAGCCTCTCTTACCATGGTGATGTAGCTTGTCTCAAAAAGATCCTCCCCAATGATACAGAGAACTCTTTCAGCTCAACTTAACTGGTTAAACCTCAGTTTAAAGGTTATTTCTACAGAAAAAAATAGTAATCTAAAAGAGTGACATCCYGAAGCAGCATCTCTTTCAAATCCAATATAGCTAGACTCTAAAAACATGGCAAAACCTGTGTGGGAGCAGCAGCACATCCATATACTGTAGCATTAATTCAAATGATCCAGATGAACATAGTTAGTTTTTAGTTTGTTGTAAGAATATTTTACACAAACACCATTGCAGCTCAAGGAGAAAATGACTCAATCTGATATTCAATTAGATTGTGCTTTGATTTGACCCAGACTTAAAAAGGTTTTGTTGTGTCCTTGATAATTACATCATGTCAGACCAATAAGTGTTTCTTGACAGTGTGTTTATGGATCTAATGGGGCCTCGGCCCCACCCGTTCAAACAAAGATCTCCTCCTGAATGGCAATGAGATGGCATGTTTTTTAAAACTCTATTCCCAATTTTTAAATCAACATCTAAAG